CCTGATAGAAAAACAGGATCAGTTCTGCACTGCACCCACAACACACTGAGACAGAACCAGTGACTGAATACACCGACTGTACACAGTGTATTTGTACCCAGGGAGTTCTTGGTTAGGATTTCTATAAAGTCAGTGTTTGATTTAGAAATGTTTAACTGTGTATTTTAAAGCTGTATTCAGTGCAGTGTGCAGTATAGGCGGGGAAATGATGGAGTGGAGTGACCATATCGGTCCAATTAGGATAAAAAGAGGAACAGACGTGGTGTCAAAGCAGTGAGTTTCTATAAACTGCTGCAACTATTTGTTCACTGTGAAACTGAGGCTGTTGTAAATTGAACTGATCAGACAAAAACCATCACCGTTCATTAAATACATTTTAAAACATTTAAAAATAGAGATCTCACAACTGAGAGTCTGATAAAAACACATCCTTTTATTTCCATCATCAGTTTGAAATCCTCACCTTTGATCAACAGAGTGGCAGCCATCTTTGAACTCTATAGGATGATCCATAGAGTCATCACTCTTCATGGACACACAGCTGGGTTCAGGTTCAGGACAGTCTGGTCTCTGATGGATCCTGATAGAAAGAAATTCATTAAAGCTCACATATTCAGAAACATTGTCACTGAATCAAAGACTTTGTGAAATGATGTATAATTTGAAATGTTTGAATACAGGGCTGGACAATAAGAACAATGTCTTCAATTACTGACATTATGGACGTGTTACTGAACACAATTTACTGATGTCACACACTTCAACACACTGTCTGAATTCCATATAATTACAGTGAGAGCAGCTACAACATCTAAGCAGCGAGCAATCAGCTCCCAGTCCAGTCCAGAAGAGCAGAATGTGGAACTGGTCAGACTGGAATGAATCAGGACAAACATCAGCAGTGAGCAACATGAGGAAGGAAATCTGCTCTGATTGATTCAAACACATGTTACTGTTACATTTCTCATTATGAAGCTGAATGTTTCTCCTGATACTGATTTGAGATCAGATCGTCCAGCCCTGTTTGAATACTGACAACTACGTACTTTAGCTCAGATAAATGTCTTTGTTTCAAATGGAGAATCAAAGCCTTTGTGACATGGAGAAGAGTCATGGACAGTTAGAGATCCTCATCTCACCTCTGAGCTTTGGTCCTTGTGTCATGTTCCCCACACAGAGTGCTTTTAGAGGGAGGGACTCCCTCCTCTCTGTCCTCACACTGATTCATAGCAGAGCCCACACCTTCACACAGACACAGCAACCAGCTGGGAGAGATCACACATTATTTCCCATCATTCACTCTCAGTCACATGACAAACACACACAGCTCTGATTGGAGGGATTAGTCGACTCGCAGCAACATGAACTCAGAAATGTTGAGTACCAAAGTTTTATGTTAGAAATGTACAGTGTGGGTCCCCAGCATTTAGAAACTGACAGATTCCAACTCAATTATCTTTATTAGCATTAATAAGCATGTGTGTATGTCTGTATGGAGAATATTTCAACAGATACTATAGTAGTGGTTTTGGGAGTTGCTGAGGATGATGGATCAAATTCTGACATTTACAAAATACAAAATTGCACTTTAACTTGTTTTTATTTGAACTCCAGGTTCACTGATTTTGAGGTCATTTATATGCATAATACATTGGAACTGCAGTTTAGGAAGCTCTTTGTCATTGGTGTTCAGATATTTATTCAATGTGGTTATGCATTAAGCAAATAAATAATCTCATAATTGATGAAAAAATACTCAAAATCAGCCCACTGGGAGATGAAATGTTGTCAGGGATGTCAGAAATGGATTCACCATCCTCAATAACCCCAATAAAATACTCCTGTATTGTCCAAATCAGCCAAACAATTACTGAAATATTGTCCATATAGCTGAATATTAATGCTAATTATGCTAATTGACCAACATATACAAGTTAGCATCTGTCAGTGTGTAAATGCTGGAGATGCAGACTGTATATTTCTAACACACAATAGGACAATAGGACTCTACTGGCTGATATAAACGGCTCATTCAGCTCAATACTAAATCCACTCATCTGACAGTTTCCATGCAGAGTAGAAATGTTGTTGGCACTTTGAGCTGCAGTATCTAAGAAATGACATTCACAATGCTCTTTAGTCTGTGGGGTTGGTTGAAGACTAGAGGAATACACTTCATGTTGCTGTTTCACTTCTATTTGACTGACTTTGAAAAGCTCCTCAACAGTTGAAATGTTGCTCTTTTTCCAAGTCTACTATATCCAGTCAGAGCATGCAGTGGCAGCTAGTCCAATAATCCAAAATCCATCCTGTTACCTTGGCAGCTGCTGCTGAATTCACATCCACATCAGCTCCCAGAGACTTTCTACCTTCATCTGTAGAGGAAACACTGAGAGCAGAGCTGAAAGCATCAGTCCAATCACTGATCAGCACTGAGAACTCATCATCACTCATTCATCCTTTACATCAGTGGTTCCCAACCTTTTTCTATCACTGAGTAAACTGACGACCCCTGACTGAGGGACATATTTTATACATATTTCATATTATAACCAAAACTGTACAATCAACCCAAATATTGAACTCAGTAGCTGCAAGAAGTTGAAGTTGATTCTGATGTATTCTGAGCAGATTATTTCCTGTTGAGGGAACTTTTTATACAGTTTGTCTGTGTTATGTATCTTTTATCATTTTTAACAATCATAAATACTTAATATGCTTCTTTTTGGACAAATTCACTGTTTTCTTGTCCCTGATGTTTGGTCATTGATCTATTAGACAGTTTACTTTACATTGACTTTTCTTCACAGAAGTGAACCAGATGCTGAGATATAGGCCCACCTACAGACCCCCCATGAAGCTTTGGTGACCACTAGTGGGGGTCCCGACCCTCAGGTTGGGAACCACTGATTTACATCATTTCTGCTGTAAAACTATCAGCTGCTTCTCCACTGATTGGCTGCTTCTCTCTGTTTCCTCTCAGTGTCAGTTGAATCCCTTTGTCTTGTTGGACTGTTGCTCAGACTAAAGAAGCAGTTAGAAAACATGACTGTGAACTCTGGGAACTACTGATGGCCTTTTTCTCATCACTGTCACACATTGCAAACTAATCAATACATGGATCAATAGTGGTTTGTTATTGGCCAGAGGAGATGCTGCTTGTTCTCATTGGTCAGTGTTGAGGAAGAATGAGAGCAGAAAGCTGCCATCAGCTGCTCTACTTCTACTATCAGTCCACTAGATGGCCTCATGGAGCTGCATTTATCTGACAGCTTTACTTCCTGCTTACTTTTCAAACATGGGATCAGTTTATAAAACAGAATTCATTATTTTACATTCAAGCAGCCAAAAGTATTTGAAGTAGTTCATATTGGCTCCACCTGCAGCAACTCCAACATTAAAGTAGTGATTACATGTTAATGCATCAATAATAATCATCCACTAATATAATAATACAACACTGACAGAGGCCATTCTGTACACTGACTACTTTCACTTTACATACTTCAACTACATTGATAAGGTGAGCTCATAAAGACAGACAGAAATCATACAGTGAGTACTCTGAGTACTGTCAGTGAGTACTCTGATTACTTTGAACAGTGACACACTGACAGTAAGATGGAGGAAACTCTTCCTCCATGTTGGTTCTCAGTTGACTGTTAGTAGAGTTTTCTGCTCTTTCTACTGAACTAAACTAACAAGATGAACAAAGAGTCATTGAGGAGTCAAACAGTGAAAAGTGTCTCTTACTAACCTTCACATGGACAGAAGAAGAAGCTGCGACAGGACGAGCTCACAAAGTGAAAGTAACCTGTGGACAGGGAGGTTTTGACGTTACGGTTGTCAGGGTAACGGAAGGAGTGGGGGAGTGGAGTGTCTGCAGAGAGAGACTGGGAGCTTCAACTACATTGTGCTGATAATACTTATATACCTCTTTCTCTTCCCCCTCAGATAGAGGAACATTCATCATGTGTCTTCCTGTTAGACGGCCATTATTACTAACTAACCACATAGTTCATGTTAACTCAGCAAGTGCCTGTATAAGTTCTTTATTTGTTTCTGTGGGGCAATTGATTTTGCCACAGTAGCAACAACAGTAACACAGGGTGAGACATACAGATAGAAAGAAAAACCCACCAATGACTACACATATTTAAACACATAAAAAGATAAAACATTCAAACATCATTCTTTGAAAACTTCCTTTTCAGAGGCACAAACCTTGGACAGACTCCGGCTCTAGGTGGGTGGAAGAATTGATCTTCTTCTAAAACTCTGAGCTTGTTTTTCAAATCTTCTTTTTGAACCCACAATAAGAGGGAAAGTGTTTCTATGACTCAAATATTAAAATATGAACAAATATTCAACTTTGAGTCTAAAACTGAACTTTGTTGGTAAGAACTTTCTGTGAAGAAAAAAAAGGTTCAAATGTCAAACAAAAGTCTTTCAGGATCAAATTCAGCATCTGTGTGAAAATAGTTCCAAGGTGTAAAGAGCGGCTTTGATTGGAACAAACTAAATTCATCATCTTTGGTCATCGTGGAACAAATGTACAAATTTTGATCTGCTCAGGTTTTATGCTCATGGTTGTCTAATATAGTTTTATATATCAGTACAGTGCAGTCTCATGTTCTTTTAAGTTCTCATAAACTGTACCACCCGGGGCCCCTTTCCCCGATATGCTTAAAAATCGGCACACGCGTAGATCTTATCCAGACGAACAAAACATCCAGTGGGCGCCATATCCCGAACCCTACAGAAAGTTGGCCATTTTAGATTTAGTGGTCATTTCGGGCGATTCGCACACGTTGTATTTGAACTCCTCCTCCTAGGGAATTGATCGGATCGATTTGGACACAGCCATCTAAAGACTTTCATGATTAAAAGTTGTGCTATTTATGACAATCCATCGAGTGACGTGCTCGCGGCGGGGAATTTCAGAGACTCGTTATGAAAAAGGGATTTGTCACAACTTCTGAGTACATGATCCGATCTCAATGGACTTCAGATGTTTGATAAGAGTCCCGCCCTGAACATGTCTATGTGATAATATTCACTAATATTGAGAGCGCCACCTAGTGGTGAAAGGAAATGTCATTTTTATACTTTCATTTATACCTTCCAGCAGATTGACCAGATCTAGCCTAAATTCTGTCAGAGGTCCCTTAGGATGATAACATCTTATGAATCTTAAGTTCGAAGAACAACGTTGCCATGGTGACGCAGTGAAAATCAGCTTTTGTGTTGTTTTGTCTGAAACGTTTTCTGTCTCGCTCTCAGTTCTGGAGGGCGGGGAGAAGGGAAGTCTTCCCGTCGTGGCGACCGTCTTCGACAAGCTCAACCAGGTGTATAAAGAATACCTGGAGGCGGAGCAGACCTACACCGTGGTGAGTGACGTCCTCGCTGAACGCCACAAACCTGCAGCGCTTTTCTTCATCATCATCATCATCATCATCATCATCATCATCATAGTGACACGTCAGAACAGAACCGCGTATTTAGGAACAATGTGATACTCTTACACAGATCATTTAGAGACTTTACTGTTATTGTAATCCTCATTTAATCCTTTTAAATCTTCTAATTTCTGTCTGTCTGTTATTTGTTGTCTATTTAACTCTTCTATTATAATATTATAAACTGTAATATCTATTATATGATCTGTACAGTAGGCGATATGATGCGTCCCTCTAGTACTGTAGTCAGTCAGCGTCCTGCACTCAGTAATATTATCTTGTACACGTGTATTTGTATGTTTTTCTATGTGAGATGTGATGTTAGTGTTTTCTGTGTGCAGGCGATGGAGTCCGGTCCGAGTCGAGGCAGCGTGGCCCAGAAACGTCCGGTCCGAACTCAGGCGGTCATCGACCAATCAGACATGTACACACACGTCCTGTCGTCGTTCACCGAGAGGAAGGTCACACACACACACACACACACACACACACACACACACAGACAGGAACCTGACTTATGAAGCTGAGAGTGGATCGATGTTAAAATGATGACCTTGTGTTTTAATACGGCGAGAGAGACCGATCCCAGATCTTTACAAACACAATAATTGAACTCACTGAATGTAATCTTGGACAGAAAAAGTAAAGAAATACTGTGATTTTAAATCCAAATGACAGAAATCTGCTTTTAAATGCTCCGTTATGTAACAAGAGTGATGTGTAAGATGATGCTCTGTGTCTGCAGGGTGTCTCCCATAAGTTCATCATTGCGGTTCTGATGGAGTACATCCGTTCTCTGAACCAGTTCCAGATCACCGTACAGGTACCGACTGACCGTCTCCTCTGCTGCCACCTTCAGGACAAACCTCACATTGCTGCCGGCTCAACTTCTCTCTCATTGTGTCTTTCAGCATTACCTGTATGAGCTGGTGATTAAGACGCTGGTGCAGCACAACCTCTTCTACATGCTGCACCAGTTCCTGCAGTACCACGTCCTCAGCGACTCCAAACCACTGGTCAGCTCATTCTAACACATTGTTACCATCCACTGTTTAGATCTTGGTGCTTTTTAACTCTAGATTTGAACCGGATGAAGGATTTTAGTCATCGGACGTCTGGATCTTAAGTTATCAGAGAAACAAGCTGAGCTAACGTTAGCAGCAGCTCGGCTCGCAGCCCCTCCGGGACGTCCTCTGTCTGTCCAACAGCGTGGGAGAAGCAGTGATTGTTAAGGTGGAACTGCTTTATTCAGTGTGTTTAGTGGTTTTAATCAGCGGTCTGTTTGTGTTGGAGAGGAGGAGACCTCTGTGGATAGAAACCTCCCATGATCCCGCGCTGCTTCATCAAACATCTGCTGACAGAAAGGACATATTGTACGTTTAATATGCTGCAGCATAAGATCAACTTTAAAGTCCTGAAACTTTTTAAGGTTTTCTTACATAATGACAAGAAGACAGATATAGATACAGGAGTGATGAGCTCATTGGGGACGAAGAGCTGAACCTTCACTCAACTATTCAGAGTTTAATTTGCTTTCTTTTGCAGCGTTAACATCCCTTGTTTGTTTCTGTGGGTTCAGGCCTGTTTGCTGCTGTCCCTGGAGAGTACGTACCCTCCGGCACACCAGCTGTCACTGGACATGTTGAAGGTATCGAACACACACCGGCTGTACAGAACCACTCTTTACTGAAGTGGAATTATTATTTGAATTGCCGTTGTGTGTTTTCAGCGTCTCTCCACGGCCAACGACGAGATCGTCGAGGTTCTGCTGTCGAAGCAGCAGGTTCTGGGCGCGCTCAGATTCATCCGCAGCGTCGGTACGTTGATGTTTGATTTATCTACCAAAATACACGCAGAAGGCTCGGTGAACTAACCCGGTTTCACTGGGAGCAGGCGGCCACGACAACGTGTCGGCGAGGAAGTTTCTGGACGCAGCGCAGCAGACCGGAGACCAGATGTTGTTCTACACCGTGTTCAGGTCGTTCCAGCAGAGGAACCAACGGCTGAGAGGAAGTCCCAACTTCAACCCGGGTGAGCCAAAACACCGAAACCACAGCCGACCGTGGGGATGAGTCTCACGTACAACAGTGGCACAGAGGAAGGTTGAGGGCAACAAATTTCCAGACAACACACAATATTTCAGGGATTTTTATGATGGAAAAAAGTCTAAATTCTTCAAATTTCCAGGTTTTCCAGGACGTGTGGGAGGAATATTAAATATAAAATGTGGTTGTTATGAGTTCGTTTTTATTGAAGCACTGTTCAGAGTCATTGGACCAAACCGTGTGTGTGTGTGTGTGTGTGTGTGTGTGTGTGTGTGTGTGTGTGTGTGTGTGTGTTACCAGGAGAGCACTGTGAGGAGCATGTGGTTCACTTCAAGCAGCTGTTTGGGGATCAGGCTCTGATGAAGCCCTCCACCGTGTGAACCACCGGGACCAAACCACACACAGACTGGAAACTGGATCACGGCAGACCGGTCGGACCGGCTCTCCGTCAGTTCGGACGCGCAGGAGACGACCTGACGGGGCGGCGGACCACCACAGGGAACAGATGATTGTGGTTTGAATCCGGGACCTTCGACCACATTGACCGACGGCCAGAGCTTCTTTATGAGTGATATTTTAATGATCCTATATCGGTGTGAACACACTCTGATAACTGACTGATAACTAGATTATCCCTCCACCAGTCAGGCAGTGAAACAAAGCATTTAATAAAAGAATAATACAGAGAAGAGCTTTTAATGTCATTTAACTTCACAACACTTATAATATGAATATAGAAATATTGTAATATATTCTGCAGGCTGAATGTGAGGCTTTGGTGGTCCCTGGTTTAACCGGATTATTACCCCTGTACGGTGGCACGTCAGCACCTGATCCAGGTTTCTGGAGCTAAACAAGGACAAACTACAAACCTGCAATAAAGAATAAAGTCTACCTGATATTATGGGATGGATTCGACTGATCACAGATATATATTGATGAACATTTCGATGAGGATCTCTTAATCAAATCCTTTTTATTTTCAGCAGAATATCAAAGATACTTTTAGAGGAATTGTTCTACCATGAACTGATGAATGTGGAAGAAAAACATTTATGAAAATCAGTGAAATTAGTAAGGTGTTCCCAGGAAGTGCTAATAAAACCATGAGGAATCAGTCGGCTGTGATAATAAACGCTTCATTAACATTATTCATTTGACAAACGAAGGCTTAAAATACTAAAACTTTACTCTTTTTTTGACTCAGTTGATCAGAAACCTGCCAGATCAATAACCAGGTTGATGATAATCAGCATTATACTGACTGACTGTAAGCGGCTCAGGTGATGTCACTGTGATGTCAGGTGTTGTGGGCGGGGCCAGATGCTGCGTGTGAATATTTTGTACATATAACGACTGACGGTGACTCTAATGTGTTTCTTTTGTAAAGAATTACTGCGTATTGGAGTAAAATGTCTTTAACTGCTCTGCTGAGTGATGTTAAAGATATAAAGATATAGTGTGTGTGCGTTATTAATGTTTACATTGTGTACAGATAAAAGATTAAACTACAGCTGTGTGCAGGTGTGTTGTTTCTGTGCTGCATTCACATGCCACTGTGATAGTTTGACATTCGGACCTTCAGGGTTGTGAGGTAAGGCCGTACAGCGGTGGTGCAGGTTCGATTCCTGCATCATCCTTTCTGTTTCACCAGTTTCAGTTCATCCTATTGAAAGAATATTTACAAGGAAAATCTCAATTTGAATTTCAAATGTATCCATATAATGTGACACAACATCAATACCAGAAATGATTATAAACATATATAAAAGAATAAGTAGAACACATTACTTTACATTGCATTTTAATAGTTTTTCTATTTTTTGGAGAAAAAAAACAAGAATAATACAGACAATACAAAATTAGATTTGAATATCAGGATCTGTTTTTGTTGCAATAATATAATAACTGTCAATACAATATATATTTAAAAAAAAGGAACATACATCTATATATTCACTGATAATGACCCTAAAGTTTATAGTTATTATGTTTATATCATGTCAAAACTGAAACAATATTATACAACAAGTTATTAAAATGTGGTGTTCAGTGTGTGTCTGACGTTTGAGACGGCACTGATTTCACACCAAAATTCAGAGATATTTCAGGAACTAAAAAAGACTTGAATCAATATTTTCATATTAACAATGGATCAAATGACAACGTGAAACAAAGGGAGGTCGTTTCCAAAGACAAACCCACAGATAATTATCTCCAGACTTTGCAGTGTTTCAAAGTGTAACTGTATATAATCTTTTACTAATAATGATAATCCTGTTAACTTAAATCCAAACTTTCTACGTATTTTATTTTCTTGTTTCTGTGTGTTACAATAAATCTGTATCTGGTAATAACCAGAACTCCAGAGAGGTAACTTTATGTATGCAGGCTGATTTTAAAGTTTCAACAAAATGAATTAGAAATATAATTAACATTAACTGCAACTCTGTTTAAAGAAATGTGTTTAAGTAAGTGTTCATCTACAGTTCTGTTGTCATAAACAGAATGAATGTGTAGAGGCAGTTTGGGTTCAGAATATGTGAATGAATGAAAGAATAAAATCCAGGTGGAGGTTCCAGGTGGAGGAGGTGGTTGAGTGTGGAGCAGAAGGAGTGGAGGAGTCTCAGTGTGTCTGCAGAGACTGTGTAGAAGGACAGAGCAGCAGCAGAGCAGTCCAGATACACTGATGATACTCTGTCACATCCAGAGGAACACACAGGGATGATGGTGGACTTGACATTGTGTCTGACAGTGGAGCTGATCTCAGAGCAGTTCAGACTGCAGCACTGAGAGTCATCTCCACTGGTTGTGATTCCTCTGTCAGTCACTGCTGGATGAAGCTCTCCTCTCCACTCTACCTCCCAGTAACATGGCCCAGTCAGAGCTGATGCTGCTGCTTCAACCTCTCTGGATCATCAGGACACAGCTGATCCTCCAACACAACCTCCTTCCTCACCACTCACACTCTGACTGAGATCACTTCCATCTGAGGAGAGAAGAAGACAGACAACAGAAGTCAATAATCAGTGTTTACAGTCTCTCTCTGTCTTTCTGTCCAACCCTGAAGTCTGTCACCATCCTCCTCTCACAGCTTCACTGAGGAAAGCAGCAAATACTGGATCTTTGCTTTGATACTAACTGTGTTTAGTACAATACTGCTGAAACCAGCATGGACTGACTCCAACCCTCTACTGACCTCAGAGTCTCCAGTCTACAGTGTGGACTCTCCACAAGATCAGACAGCAGCTTCACTCCTGAATCCTGCAGGTTGTTGTTACTCAGCTCCAGCTCTCTCAGATGGGAGGGGTTGGACTTCAGAGCTGAGACCAGATAATCACAGCTGATCTCTGACAAACTGCAGCCCCACAAACTGAATAAAGAATAAAAGATGTAAGTTTAGAAGACAATGTTCCTGCTTGAAATCATTCAGTGTTTAATAATCTGTTCAGAGCTGAAGAAGGTTTACAATGTACAAGTTTATAAAATGTGAACAAAAGACATCTACAATATTTCTTTTAGGAATAGTGGAGTCATAAAATCAAAGCATCTTCAGTTTAAACTATTCAGTCAGTATAAACATCATATAGCTTCATAACAATGTTGGAAACAGCAAATACTGAATATATTTGTTACTGTCTGATAGTTGAAATACAGATTATTGATTCATTTATTATATTCATTATTTTGTCACATGTGACCATTTACCAACAATTATAAACATTCATTTACTTTAACAACTAACAGTGGACATTTTCTACAGTTTCTTTAACAAACACAAGTCTTTGTGACTGCAGACTAAATTTAGTTCAACAAACATTAAAATATGAACAAAAGCAACTTTACAACTTTATGGATGTAAGTTATGTATGAACATAAATTAGGTTCAGTTGTTAATTAAATGTAGCCCTGGATAAAATACTTTTAGACTTCAAGATGTGGATAATTCATGTAGTCATCAGACAGTAAATAGTTTAAAAAGAGAGGTTTAACATGTATAAATATGGTTAAAAACATGGATATTGTTTCAAATGTAAATGGAAGGTTAAATATGTGTTTAAATATAAGATGTATAATCTCTACAGTTCAGAGGTCAAAGGATGAAGTTCATGTAGATTAACATAGTTTGTTTTATATGTATCTGTATTACACACTGTATTCAGCCTTACAGCCTAACCTTGTTCATGCATGATATGTCAATCTTTGTGTTTCTTTATTGTAATTGGACTGTTCTGGATTAAACAGCCAACCAAATTACATTCTCAGGTAGAGAGTACTTAGTCGTACCCTGCTAGCTCTGGTGTTTGTGGAGAAAGGCAGAAGCTGATTAGTTATCCTAAGGGTTTGAACTTTTGTGATCAACAAGAGCTAAATATGAGTCTGTGAACTTTTTCCTGTACTGTGACTTATTGTTATAGTGGAACAAACGAGTTGTTACCAGCATGGACTGACTCCAACCCTCTACTGACCTCAGAGTCTCCAGTCTACAGTGTGGACTCTCCAGAAAACCACACAGCAGCTTCACTCCTGAATCCTGCAGATTGTTGTTAGTCAGGTCCAGCTCTCTCAGATGGGAGGGGTTGGACTTCAGAGCTGAGACCAGATAATCACAGCTGATCTCTGACAAACTGCAGTTGATCAATCTGAATGAAGAATAAAAGATGTAGATAAAATCATTAATAATCCAATCAGATGTGTTCAGGTTTTAAATGTGGAGATCAACATTACTATGTCCTAATCAATGAGCTTTTCTCTAAAATGAGTAGAGTGACTTTGTCATTGTGTTATTGTGGATCATCATAATGTCAGCACAACATTAATACACCTATTCATGTCAACCCTGATTAACAGCATGCTGCTGATCTCAGTCAGGCCTAGAATACCTGTCAGTGGTCATGATGTTATGGCTGATTGGTGTATATCACTATTCAATTCAATTCTGTTTCTACATCAGCAAGTGAACAATGTGTGGAGGAGGCTCGTTGTTAATGATGTAGCCAATCAAAACCATCAAAACCAACGTGGTAACGAATCTATTGCCCCCAGCTGATGTGTTCACTGCTGTTCACTGTTGCTTTATCTGGTCTGCACTGGTTAAAATAAAGACTGTATCTGTACAGAGAGCGTCTGTCTCTGTGTCTCTGCAGGGTGACTGTCAGTAGACTGTACAGGAGGGACAGAGCGAGGGCAGATTGTCACTAGATTATCCATCACAGATACTTTTACTGAGTGAGAGACACTTTGCTGCAGAAAAGGCCCAAAACACAATGTTAAAGAGAAATGTAAAAATATTTTTGGTTCATGATGAAACTATGGGGGGGGGGGTTCAGCCAATTAATTGGAAACTCTGTGTGTGTGTGTGTGTGTGTGTATGTGTGTGTTCTGTAGGATCAATACCATTGATCAGACGTTAATAAAAACAAATATTAGTTCAGAGGATCTTCTGTATCCATCATTCAGTGTTTAATAATCTGTTCAGAGCTGAAGAAGGTTTAGAATGTACAAGTTTAGAAAATTTGAACAAAAGACATCTACAATATTTCTTTTAGGAATAGTGGAGTCATAAAATCAAAGCATCTTCAGTTTAAACTATTCAGTCAGTATAAACATCATATAGCTTCATAACAATGTTGGAAACAGCCAATACTGAATAAATGTGTTATTGTCTGATTGTTGAAATACAGATTATTGATTTATTTATTACATCATTTTGTCACATGTGACCATTTACCAACAATTATAAACATTCATTTACTTTAACAACTAACAGTGGACATTTTCTACAGTTTCTTTAACAAACACAAGTCTTTGTGACTGCAGACTAAATTTAGTTCAACAAACATTAAAATATGAACAAAAGCAACTTTACAACTTTATGGATGTAAGTTATGTATGAACATAAATTAGGTTCAGTTGTTAATTAAACATATCAGATCTACAACAGTAACAGAGAGTCAGTGAACTGACCTCAGAGTCTCCAGTCTACAGTGTGGACTCTCCAGAAAACCACACAGCAGCTTCACTGCTGAATCCTGCAGGTTGTTGTACCTCAGGTCCAGCACTCTCAGATGGGAGGGGTTAGACTTCAGAGCTGAGACCAGATAATCACAGCTGATCTCTGACAACCTGCAGTAACTCGATCTGAATAAAGAATAAATGTAACACCCATTAGTTACACACACAGTGTAATCCCCAATGTTCACAGTTTAACAATGTGTAGAACTATACAGTCTAGTAGATTTCAGATGTAGTTGTTTAGTTTCCTTGTTTCTTTCTCTGTTTATTTTTCATGCATCGATACAAACCAGAGCTCCACGTGAGAGAGAGCGAGTTTAATAAAGTTGATAACTGACTGTAAAGTTGTTAAAATGACCATTTTGGAGGACTTCTGTACAAGGAAGAGGGTTTTTCTTGTCAAAGCTGACCGTGTGGATATTGATTATTATCCAGTGAAAACTCCGGTCAGTAAATGCTATGAAGGATTAGCGTTGCCGCTCACAGATAATTACTTATTTTATTGAATATGTCTCCACTGTGTATAGTTATGATTCTGTGATAGTGTTTAAAACCCAACCGGAGACAGATAAACATGTTGAGCTGTGTTAATAGCACTAGCACCTGTTATACAGCTAAGAAAGCTGGTTGTTGAGCTCAAACACACACAGCTGTGTGAACTTGAGTTTACAGAAGGTAATTAATTTCATTTTCTTGATAAAAACATGATTGAAAGTCATTCATTTCATAATTTGTGTACATTAAGCTGTGATGAGTTAAAAGCATTTAAAGATTTATATATATAATTGTGTGTTGGCTGTTAAAGTTATTGTGCAGCTGTGTATGAAACTTTGTCATTGAATAATTCATGTTCATTGATTTAAGATAAAAAGAGAGTTAATACTGTACAGTTAATATAAATAGATAAAGAGAGATTAACGAGATGAATAAGATTGTATTGAAGAGATGCTACTACTACTGCTCTATGCAGGTTGGTTTTATTGTATGAGTGGATTCTGATGGCGAGCCAGAACCAAGCCCATTGGATCGTGGAGGGTGTGACGTCAGCGAGAGCTTCACTGTGCATTGGAGAGAACATCTCTTCATACAGATAATAAAACATACAGTCACACTACCCGGGTAGATGAACAATCACACAAACACACTGAAGAAGGACAAACTGTGAATATTGACTTCATTCAGACTTTTTCTGTTTTTGGACTCTTTTGAATTTTCTCTCTGGTCTGTTGATTATTTTGGGCCCATATATTTCATAACTCATACTGTGAAGAGTTTTGTTTTCTACTGAGCGTTATTCAGTGTCATTTTCTGACTTGTTGATAACTTCTGATACAAGAAAGGAATTCAGTCATATCTGAAATATTTTATGTTTTGCACTTAAAGGTGGCACTGTTGCCAATAAAGCTATTTGTTACTACTCTTTTCAAACCGTTGTCCTGTTCCATCAATCCTCCTTGAGCGTATCTATTTCTTCTGATAGAATAAGTAAGATAGTAAAATACAAAGAGTGAAAAAGAGCTCTCATTAATATTAATGACAACGTGCTGCTGCTTCAATAAAGACGTAGTGACTTCAGCTCTTAACCTCTGCCAGCTCCACCAGTGGCTCCATCTATACAAACTCATGTTGTGCAGCCAAACACAAAGAAAAACCCACAGAAACTGATTGAAGGTTCCACTCAAGATCCTAAAGTTTCCAAAGATACCAAATATGTCAGGATGGATTTTGGGATAAACTCATACAATACTAAATAATCTCAAAGAAAGTGGAAGATTATTCCATTTCACATAAACACATTTAAAATAACAAATTAATAAATAAAATGACAGGACCTACCCTCTAACCTAAAGTAACACAATAATAATAATAATAATAATAATAATAATAATGATAATAATAATAGCAATAATAATGTTTATAATAATAGCAATAATAATAATAAAATATTAATAATGATAACAATAATAATAATAAACTATATTTATAATAATAATGATAAGAATGACATTATTACTTGTTCTGGTCTGATAGTTGAAATAGAGATTATTGATTTATTCATTGTATTTATTGTCATCATTTCTTTTAAAACACATGATGGGTAATAAAAGATGGAAATAAAGAGTGAATTATCCAGTGTAGATTCTTCTTGTTATATTCAGGTTTTAAATGTGGAGCTCAACATTGCTCTGCCACAGTCAATGGACTAAACCACTGAAGAAGAAAACAGACTTTAGCATTAAGATACTCAGTGTGGATCAGTATAATATCAGCCTTATGTCTGCACTTTACTGTCAGCACAACTTTCACATCATATTAATCTCAGCACAGAAAGAAAACATGGTGTCTGACCTCAGAGTCTCCAGTCTACAGTGTGGACTCTCCAGAAAACCACACAGCAGCTTCACTCCTGAATCCTGCAGCTTGTTGTAACTCAGGTCCAGCTCTCTCAGATGGGAGGGGTTGGACTTCAGAGCTGAGACCAGATAATCACAGCTGATCTTTGACAAACTGCAGCTCCACAATCTGAATAAAGAATAAAAGATGAAGATAAAAATAATTAATAATCCAATCAGATGTGTTCAGGTTTTAAATGTGGAGATCAACATTACTATGTCCTAATCAATGAGCTTTTCTCTAAAATGAGTAGAGTGACTTTGTCATTACAGCTATAACTACAGCTTTATGTATTACCTTTATTAAGACCTTCTTACTGTATGTTGTAGCTTAGTAAGTAAATGTCATTAAATGCATCCACATTTGTTCAAGTGTGTCTTAAAACAACAGCCACATGCCATATGTACATTCAAAGAGTTATTGGTGGCAGTAATCATTGTGTAGAGTGAAGAGTGATACACCTTTTGATGTTCAAATGAACAGCTGAACCAGAGACACTGTGAGTTGGATGAACAGTAGATAAAGTTTAATCTTCATCGAGTTTTACTGAACTTTGAGATCGAAAGATCTCTGAATAAACTCCATGTTTAATTTCTGAAAGATTTAATAGTTTGATAAGTTTTTTTTCTCCTGCAGCTCATTTTTTAAACCCTCTAACAGGGGAGAGGTGAACACAAATAATTGTGTCGTTAAATGTAACTGGCCACTAACTATTTGATAGTAATAAAGTTTCCATAATTAAAAAGAATGACTTTAAGTATTTCTGTATTTCAGCATTCAGGGGGAAACAAATAAGTGCACAGATAATGAAGTAATAGTGACCGAATGACGACTCAAGACTTACTTTGTGAAGAATTTAAAATGGCATACACTTCCTTTTAGTGAAGCTTTATTAAGTAACGATTTAGAAATGAGTATCACAACATGATTTTATTTTTGGGACAAAAGTCAGGTTAGTAATGGTGACCGTATGTGTGAAGTTTTGATGCAGTAATTATTATTAGGTAATGACGAACACTTCATGTGTCTTTTTCACTCGGTTGTGAATTTATTGGGTAGGTCCATGGCACTTGTGTAGAGCTTAAACATGTCTGATCGTTCTATTATAACCCAACACACACACAATGTTCCAGGCACTGTTATGACTCTGTCAAAATACCGTTGGCTCTATTCTCATAGAAATATTTTTGTCAGAAAGGCTGAGTAGATACATGGTCAGAAATGCTCTTTTATGTAAGATGCATCCAGATCATTTGGTCACATATTCATGTATGAACTGTTCATTGACATTCCTAAATTGATGATCTGTTGAATGTGGATTATTCACATTAAGTCAAAGTAACAGGAAACATGAATTCATGACACATCCTGCATTAATCCATGCATTAAATCATCATGACTCATTCGTTTATATATTTTAATATATTAACATTTTAGTTAAGCATTAATTCAGTCAATTTTTTTGAAAGTGTTACCATAATCTCTTTTCCATAGAAAGAGTCAATGAGAGAGAAAGCGGCAGTAGAGTGGACAAAGAAAAGAGAAATAAAACTATTACTGTTCTGGTTGTTTCACATTAGTTACTTTCTAAAGTAACACTTAATAACCATTAAACTGTCAGCAGATGGTCACTGTGGAGATACTAATGTTTTCAGTCTGTGTTTGACCCTCTGCATTTCTGCTTTTCATTAATTCATTGTATCAAACATCAGAGTCACAAAACCATAAATATCAGTAGTATATATATAAATATTGTGTTTCAAACACTACCATTATTTTTTTTATCTGTCATGGGTTTAATTAGCCTGTTCTTTAAGATTCTTCTGATGCAGTGGAAACACACAGAAGGACTTCTACTTTTAGACTCTAGTTTACTTCCTGAGATTAGTTCCTCTGGTTCAGTAGTACCTGAATATTAATGGTTGAAAATCTGAAGTCCTGATGACCAAATTTAATGATTAAGACATTTTAAGATAAGAGTGTTTACACTGCAAGGAGGCAATAGTTTAAAGAAATATAATATGAAATATATATAATATATGACTTAAGCAAACTAACTTGATCTGACCTAAGAGTTTCCAGTTTACAGTGTGGACTCTTCAATCCAGCAGACACCAGCTTCATTCCTGAGTCCTGCAGGTCGTTGTTACTCAAGTCCAGCTCTCTCAGACTAGAGGACTGGGAGCTGAGAACTGAAGACAGAGCATCACAGCTTCTCTCTGAGAGGTTACAGTCACTCAGTCTGTAGGGACAATAATAAACATTAAGAGCAATAACATTTGTGATATTAATACAATAATAAAGCAAAACAATCTGTAAGTTTAAAAGATAACGGGGTATTTTAGTAATAATATAGAAATCCAACTCTGTCTGTACTTACAGAGCTTTGTTGGAGGCTTTGACCACTGGCAGCAGCCTCAGAAGAGCCTCCTCTGAACCAGAATATTTCTTCAGGTCAAACACATCCAGATCTTTTCCTGATGACAGTAAGATGAAGACCAGAGCTGACCACTGAGCAGGAGACAGTTTATCTGTGGAGAGACGTCCTGAACTCAGGTACTGTTGGATCTCCTCCACTAGAGAATGATCATTCAGTTCATTCAGACAGTGGAACAGATTGATGCTTCTCTCTGCAGAGAGATCTTCCTCCAACTTCTTCTTGATGTACTTTACTGTTTCCTGATTGGTCTGTGAGCTACTTCCTATCTGTGTCAGCAGGCCTCGTAGGAGATTCTGATTGGTCTCCAGTGAAAGACCCAGGAGGAAGCGGAGGAACAAGTCCAGGTGTCCATTTGGACTCTGTAAAGCCTTGTCCACAGCACTCTGGTGGAGATGTTTGAGATTCTGTTTGTCTTTAAATAATAAAGAAATGAAGAATGTTTGTTCTTCTGCCAGCAGATTGACTCCAGAGCTGATGAATGTCAGATGGACATGAAGAGCAGCCAGAAACTCCTGAACACTCAGATGGACGAAGCAGAAGACCTTGTCCTGGTACAGTCCACTCTCCTCTTTAAAGATCTGTGTGAACACTCCTGAGTACACTGAGGCTGCTCTGATATCGATGCCACACTCTGTCAGGTCTGATTCATAGAAGATCAGGTTACCTTTCTGCAGCTCCTTAAAAGCCAGTTTTCCCCAGAGACTCAATCATCTTCCTGCTCTCTGGACTCCAGTGTGGATCTGTCTCTGCTCCTCCATCATACTTGACGTTCTTCAGTTTGCACTGAACCACCAGGAAGTGGATGAACATCTCAGTCAGGGTCTTGGGCAGCTCTCCTCTCTCTCTGGTCTTTAACACTTTCTCCAGAACTGTAGCAGTGATCCAGCAGAAGACTGGGATGTGGCACATGATGTGAAGGCTTCGTGAGGTCTTGATGTGGGAGATGATTCTGTTGGCCTGCTCCTCATCTGTGAACCTCTTCCTGAAGTACTCCTCCTTCTGTGGGTCAGTGAACCCTCTGACCTCTGTCACCATGTCAACACACTCAGGAGGGATCTGATTGGCTGCTGCAGGTCGTGTGGTTATCCAGAGGCGAGCAGAGGGAAGCAGTTTCCCCCGGATGAGGTTTGTCAGCAGCACATCCACTGAGGTGGACTCTGTAACATCAGTCAGGATCTCTGTGTTGTTGAAGTCCAGAGGAAGTCGATACTCATCCAGACCGTCAAAGATAAACACAACCTGGAACTCTTCAAACCTGCAGATTCCTGCTTCTTTGGTTTCAGTAAAGAAGTGATGAACAAGTTCCACCAAGCTGAACTTTTTCTCTTTCAGCACATTCAGCTCTCTGAAAGTGAATGGAAATGTGAACTGTAGGTCCTGGTTGGCTTTGTCTTCAGCCCAGTCCAGAGTGAACTTCTGTGTTAAGACTGTTTTCCCAATGCCAGCCACTCCCTTTGTCATCACTGTTCTGATTGGTTCATCTCTTCCAGGTGAGGGTTTAAAGAGTTCTTCTTGTCTGATTGTTGTTTCTGGTCTGTCTGGTTTCCTGGATGCTGTTTCAATCTGTCTGACCTCATGTTCATCATTGAGCTCTGCAGTCCCTCCCTCTGTGATGTAGAGCTCTGTGTAGATCTGGTTCAGAAGGGTTTGGTTTCCTTCTTTAGCAATCCCCTCAAACACACACTGGAACTTCTTCTTCAGGTTAGATTTAAGTCCACGCTGACAAACTCCAACAAGATGTTCTTAATGAAGACACAGAAAATATGATCCTTAAGTGACTGATAAATAAAATATTTCATTCCCCTAAAGCAGAAAAATGTTCAGCTCAGATAGAAAATATCTATTTTGTTTCTCCCTGAGACCAAAAGTTATGGGGCTAACTTATTGCCACCAGTCATTTCAATGAGGGTAAGTGGTTGTTGCCCACATCCAAACGCACAGATTTTGCTCTGCCGCATTTCACTGTGTTAAACTGCTGGTGGCACACACCTGGCGGCAGCTGCTATTTAAAGCATGTTTTCTGTGAACCCTCGTGCAGACAGGTTTTAAAAAATATTATATATATATATATATATATATATTATATCTACATTTATAAACTACTGAAACAGAAGTTAGCAACACATCAGCCAGAAGAAAAGGAGTGGTCTCTCTTTGTATATTTAAATAAAATATGATTATTTTTGAAATTTTTATTACAATGAATTATCATGGCGTTCTTATGCATTTTAATTGGTGAGTTGTGACCAATTTTGGCTTTAAAGAATGAGTATGTGAATATATTTTGTCTTTGTTAGACATCAGTAAATGTCTCATTTATCCAGCGAGTTAAATCTTTAGAGAAATCCTCTTACTGCTCTGCAGACAGTCAGCCAGCTCCTCCTGCTTCATTCTCCTCAGGAAGAGCAGTGTGATCTTCAGAAATGCCTCTCTGCTGCTCTTCCTCTGCTCTTCATCCTCACTGTCCAACACCTCCTCATCCTCCCTCTGAATCTCCAAGCATTCTGGGTAATCTGAACTCAGAACCTTCTGGATCTTCTTCAGCTCGTTCTTCACAAAAGTGACAATGTTGTCCTCCAGCAGCTGGAACAGAATATTATATGAATGACTCAATCAAAGTCAAATCATGGAAGCAAACATCAGATCCATGTTGGACAGACTGACAATCCACTGGTCTAAAAAGTGCAGCATGGAGATTATTGTGAACACAATAGATGTAAAAGTAGTTGTTGTCCATGTACAGACCATAAATATGGAGTCCAGGTGTGTTTGATGCTGCTGGGCAGACTGACCACTGGGAACCTCTGAGCTCTCCTGGTCCACTCTGTGGAGGAATCATGAAGAATGAGCTCACATTATGTCTGTCCACACAGAGACAAACACAAGGTAAAGGTCCATGAAGTGATATTTGGATGTGAACAGTGAATCTGATGACTCCCTGTAGTGGTAAAGGTTTACTAGTCCTGCTGATCCCACTGAGAATCAACAGCTCAGTTTGGTTCAGTCCCAACAGCTCTCATCAACCCCTCCATATAGCTCTCCCTCCCTCACTGTACACTGCTGAAGTGCCCTGGAGCAAGGAACCTAGAGCCTCCAGCTGCTCTAGTGGAGCTGCTCAGTGTCTGCTTGTATCAGACTGGTTGTACTGGGCAGCTCCCAGTGTGAATGTGTTTGACTGTGTGAGTGTGAGGCAGCTGCTGCTGGAAAAGAGTGTTGGTGCTCAGAGAACTTCATCTGAGTCAGTAAAGGTTGAAAAACTGAGAGTCTGATAAAAACACATCCTTTTATTTCAATCATCAGTTTGAAATCCTCACCTTTGATCAACAGAGTGGTGGCCATCTTTGAACTCTATAATACGATCCATAGAGAGATCACTTTTCATGGACACACAGCTGGGTTCAGGTTCAGGACAGTCTGGTCTCTGATGGATCCTGATAGAAAGAAATTCATTAAAGCTCACATATTCAGAAACATTGTCACTGAATCAAAGACTTTGTGAAATGATGTATAATTTGAAATGTTTGAATACAGGGCTGGACAATAAGAACAATGTCTTCAATTACTGACATTATGGACGTATTACTGAACACAATTTACTGATGTCACACACTTCAACACACTGTCTGAATTCCATATAATTACAGTGAGAGCAGCTACAACATCTAAGCAGCGAGCAATCAGCTCCCAGTCCAGTCCAGAAGAGCAGAATGTGGAACTGGTCAGACTGGAATGAATCAGGACAAACATCAGCAGTGAGCAACATGAGGAAGGAAATCTGCTCTGATTGATTCAAACACATGTTACTGTTACATTTCTCATTATGAAGCTGAATGTTTCTCCTGATACTGATTTGAGATCAGATCGTCCAGCCCTGTTTGAATACTGACAACTACGTACTTTAGCTCAGATAAATGTCTTTGTTTCAAATGGAGAATCAAAGCCTTTGTGACATGGAGAAGAGTCATGGACAGTTAGAGATCCTCATCTCACCTCTGAGCTTTGGTCCTTGTGTCATGTTCCCCACACAGAGTGCTTTTAGAGGGAGGGACTCCCTCCTCTCTGTCCTCACACTGATTCATAGCAGAGCCCACACCTTCACACAGACACAGCAACCTGCTGGGAGAGATCATACAATATTTCCCATCATTCCTCTCAGTCACATGACAAACACACACAGCTCTGATTGGAGGGATTAGTCGACTCGCAGCAACATGAACTCAGAAATGTTGAGTACCAAAGTTTTATGTTAGAAATGTACAGTGTGGGTCCCCAGCATTTAGAAACTGACAGATTCCAACTCAATTATCATTATTAGCATTAATAAGCATGTATGTTTGTCTGTATGGAGAATATTTCAACAGATACTATAGTAGTGGTTTTGGGAGTTGCTGAGGATGATGGATCAAATTCTGACATTTACAAAATACAAAATTGCACTTTAAATTGTTTTTTAATTTGAAGTCCAGGTTCACTGATTTTGAGGTTATTTATATGCATAATACATTGGAACTGCAGTTTAGGAAGCTCTTTGTCATTGGTGTTCAGATATTTATTCAATGTGGTTATGCATTAAGCAAATAAATAATCTCAAAATTGATGAAAAAATACTCAAAAGTCAGCCCACTGGGAGATGAAATGTTGTCAGAGATGTCAGAAATGAATTCATCATCCTCAATAACCCCAATAAAACACTCCTGTATTGTCAAAATCAGCCAAACAATTACTGAAATATTGTCCATATAGCTGAATATTAATGCAAATTATGCTCATTTACCAACATATACAAGTTAGCATCTGTCAGTGTGTAAATGCTGGAGATGCAGACTGTATATTTCTAACACACAATAGGACAATAGGATTCTACTGGCTGATATAAACGGCTCATTCAGCTCAATACTAAATCCACTCATCTGACAGTTTCCATGCAGAGTAGAAATGTTGTTGGCACTTTGAGCTGCAGTATCTAAGAAATGACATTCACAATGCTCTTTAGTCTGTGGGGTTGGTTGAAGACTAGAGGAATACACTTCATGTTGCTCTTTCACTTCTATTTGACTGACTTTGAAAAGCTCCTCAACAGTTGAAATGTTGCTCTTTTTCCAAGTCTACTATATCCAGTCAGAGCATGCAGTGGCAGCTAGTCCAATAATCCAAAATCCATCCTGTTACCTTGGCAGCTGCTGCTGAATTCACATCCACATCAGCTCCCAGAGACTTTCTACCTTCATCTGTAGAGGAAACACTGAGAGCAGAGCTGAAAGCATCAGTCCAATCACTGATCAGCACTGAGAACTCATCATCACTCATTCATCCTTTACATCAGTGGTTCCCAACCTTTTTCTATCACTGAGTAAACTGACGACCCCTGACTGAGGGACATATTTTATACATATTTCATATTATATCCAAAACTGTACAATCAACCCAAATATTGAACTCAGTAACTGCAAGAAGTTGAAGTTGATTCTGATGAATTCTGAGCAGATTATTTCCTGTTTAGGGAACTTTTTATACAGTTTGTCTGTGTTATGTATCTTTTATCATTTTTAACAATCATAAATACTTAATATGCTTCTTTTTGGACAAATTCAGTGTTTTCTTGTCCCTGATGTTTGGTCATTGATCTATTAGACAGTTTACTTTACACTGACTTTTCTTCACAGAAGTGAACCAGATGCTGAGATATAGGCCCACCTACAGACCCCCCATGAAGCTTTGGTGACCACTAGTGGGGGTCCCGACCCTCAGGTTGGGAACCACTGATTTACATCATTTCTCCTGTAAAACTATCAGCTGCTTCTCCACTGATTGGCTGCTTCTCTCTGTTTCCTCTCAGTGTCAGTTGAATCCCTTTGTCTTGTTGGACTGTTGCTCAGACTAAAGAAGCAGTTAGAAAACATGACTGTGAACTCTGGGAACTACTGATGGCCTTTTCTCATCACTGTCACACATTGCAAACTAATCAATACATGGATCAATAGTGGTTTGTTATTGGCCAGAGGAGATGCTGCTTGTTCTCATTGGTCAGTGTTGAGGAAGAATGAGAGCAGAAAGCTGCCATCAGCTGCTCTACTTCTACTATCAGTCCACTAGATGGCCTCATGGAGCTGCATTTATCTGACAGCTTTACTTCCTGTTTACTTTTCAAACATGGGATCAGTTTATAAAATAGAATTCATTATTTTACATTCAAGCAGCCAAAAGTATTTGAAGTAGTTCATATTGGCTCCACCTGCAGCAACTCCAACATTAAAGTAGTGATTACATGTTAATGCATCAATAATAATCATCCACTAATATAATAATACAACACTGACAGAGGCCATTCTGTACACTGACTACTTTCACTTTACATACTTCAACTACATTGATAAGGTGAGCTCATAAAGACAGACAGAAATCATACAGTGAGTACTCTGAGTACTGTCAGTGAGTACTCTGATTACTTTGAACAGTGACACACTGACAGTAAGATGGAGGAAACTCTTCCTCCATGTTGGTTCTCAGTTGACTGTTAGTAGAGTTTTCTGCTCTTTCTACTGAACTAAACTAACAAGATGAACAAAGAGTCATTGAGGAGTCAAACAGTGAAAAGTGTCTCTTACTAACCTTCACATGGACAGAAGAAGAAGCTGCGACACGACGAGCTCACAAAGTGAAAGTTACCTGTGGACAGGGAGTGGCTATGACGTCACGGTTGTCAGGGCAACAGCAGGTGTGGGGAGTGGAGTGTCTCCAGAGAGAGACTGGGAGCTTCAACTACATTGTGCTGATAATACTTCTGTAACTGAGGAACTTTTTTTATGCAGCACTTTAAGTTGTAATGGAGTATTTCTGTAGTGTAGTATTACTACTTTTACTATGTTCAGCTTTGAACTGTTGGTCAGACAACATTGTGTCACTGTGGGCTCTGGATGATTGTAACAGGCATTTCTCAATATATTCTCAAGTTGGACAATTTAGATCAATGACAATAATAATTAGTCACAGTCCTTCCTCAATAGTTGAAATCAGCTCCACCTGAGCAGCTACAACAGCCAAATACAGCAGTAATAATAATCTAATGATAGAATATAATATAGTGTAACAGCTGTAGTTCCTTACTCCCCCCAGGGTGTCCTGACTCAATCCTGTGTTCCTCTAATCCAAGTCTACAGTGTGTGTGTGTGTGTGTGTGTGTGTGTGTGTGTTACCAGGAGAGCACTGTGAGGAGCATGTGGTTCACTTCAAGCAGCTGTTTGGGGATCAGGCTCTGATGAAGCCCTCCACCGTGTGAACCACCGGGACCAAACCACACACAGACTGGAAACTGGATCACGGCAGACCGGTCGGACCGGCTCTCCGTCAGTTCGGACGCGCAGGAGACGACCTGACGGGGCGGCGGACCACCACAGGGAACAGATGATTGTGGTTTGAATCCGGGATCTTCGACCACATTGACCGACGGCCAGAGCTTCTTTATGAGTGATATTTTAATGATCCTATATCGGTGTGAACACACTCTGATAACTGACTGATAACTAGATTATCCCTCCACCAGTCAGGCAGTGAAACAAAGCATTTAATAAAAGAATAATACAGAGAAGAGCTTTTAATGTCATTTAACTTCACAACACTTATAATATGAATATAGAAATATTGTAATATATTCTGCAGGCTGAATGTGAGGCTTTGGTGGTCCCTGGTTTAACCGGATTATTACCCCTGTACGGTGGCACGTCAGCACCTGATCCAGGTTTCTGGAGCTAAACAAGGACAAACTACAAACCTGCAATAAAGAATAAAGTCTACCTGATATTATGGGATGGATTCGACTGATCACAGATATATATTGATGAACATTTCGATGAGGATCTCTTAATCAAATCCTTTTTATTTTCAGCAGAATATCAAAGATACTTTTAGAGGAATTGTTCTACCATGAACTGATGAATGTGGAAGAAAAACATTTATGAAAATCAGTGAAATTAGTAACGTGTTCCCAGGAAGTGCTAATAAAACCATGAGGAATCAGTCGGCTGTGATAATAAACGCTTCATTAACATTATTCATTTGACAAACGAAGGCTTAAAATACTAAAACTTTACTCTTTTTTTGACTCAGTTGATCAGAAACCTGCCAGATCAATAACCAGGTTGATGATAATCAGCATTATACTGACTGACTGTAAGCGGCTCAGGTGATGTCACTGTGATGTCAGGTGTTGTGGGCGGGGCCAGATGCTGCGTGTGAATATTTTGTACATATAACGACTGACGGTGACTCTAATGTGTTTCTTTTGTAAAGAATTACTGCGTATTGGAGTAAAATGTCTTTAACTGCTCTGCTGAGTGATGTTAAAGATATAAAGATATAGTGTGTGTGCGTTATTAATGTTTACATTGTGTACAGATAAAAGATTAAACTACAGCTGTGTGCAGGTGTGTTGTTTCTGTGCTGCATTCACATGCCACTGTGATAGTTTGACATTTGGACCTTCAGGGTTGTGAGGTAAGGCCGTACAGCGGTGGTGCAGGTTCGATTCCTGCATCATCCCTTCTGTTTCACCAGTTTCAGTTCATCCTATTGAAAGAACATTTACAAGGAAAATCTCAATTTGAATTTCAAATGTATCCATATAATGTGACACAACATCAATACCAGAAATGATTATAAACATATATAAAAGAATAAGTAGAACACATCTCTTTACATTGCATTTTAATAGTTTTTCTATTTTTTATTCAATATTTTTACAGACAATTTGGATAAAAAAACAAGAATAATACAGACAATACAAAATTAGATTTGAATATCAGGATCTGTTTTTGTTGCAATAACACAACTGTCAATACAATATATATTTTTAAAACAGGAACATACATCTATATATTCACTGATAATGACCCTAAAGTTAATAGTTATTATGTTTATATCATGTCAAAACTGAAACAATATTATACAACAAGTTATTAAAATGTGGTGTTCAGTGTGTGTCTGACGTCTGAGACGGCACTGATTTCCCACCAAATTCCGGAGATATTTCAGGAACTAAAAAAGACTTGAATCAATATTTTCATATTAACAATGGATCAAATGACGACGTGAAACAAAGGGAGGTCGTTTCCAAAGACAAACCCACAGATAATTATCTCCACACTTTGCAGTGTTTTAAAAAGTAACTGTATATAATCTTTTACTAATAATGATAATCATATTTCAGTTTTTAAACTTAAATCCAAACTTTCTACATGTTTAATATTCTTGTTTCTGTGTGTTACAATAAATCTGTATCTGGTAATAACCAGAACTCCAGAGAGGTAACTTTATATATGCAGGCTGATTTTAAAGTTTGAACAAAATGAATTAGAAATATAATTAACATTAACTGCAACTCTGTTTAAAGAAATGTGTTTAAGTAAGTGTTCATCTACAGTTCTGTTGTCATAAACAGAATGAATGTGTAGAGGCAGTTTGGGTTCAGAATATGTGAATGAATGAAAGAATAAAATCCAGGTGGAGGTTCCAGGTGGAGGAGGTGGTTGAGTGTGGAGCAGAAGGAGTGGAGGAGTCTCAGTGTGTCTGCAGAGACTGTGTAGAAGGACAGAGCAGCAGCAGAGCAGTCCAGATACACTGATGATACTCTGTCACATCCAGAGGAACACACAGGGATGATGGTGGACTTGACATTGTGTCTGACAGTGGAGCTGATCTCAGAGCAGTTCAGACTGCAGCACTGAGAGTCATCTCCACTGGTTGTGATTCCTCTGTCAGTCACTGCTGGATGAAGCTCTCCTCTCCACTCTACCTCCCAGTAACATGGCCCAGTCAGAGCTGATGCTGCTGCTTCAACCTCTCTGGATCATCAGGACACAGCTGATCCTCCAACACAACCTCCTTCCTCACCACTCACACTCTGACTGAGATCACTTCCATCTGAGGAGAGAAGAAGACAGACAACAGAAGTCAATAATCAGTGTTTACAGTCTCTGTCTGTCTTTCTGTCCAACCCTGAAGTCTGTCACCATCCTCCTCTCACAGCTTCACTGAGGAAAGCAGCAAATACTGGATCTTTGCTTTGATACTAACTGTGTTTAGTACAATACTGCTGAAACCAGCATGGACTGACTCCAACCCTCTACTGACCTCAGAGTCTCCAGTCTACAGTGTGGACTCTTCACAAGATCAGACAGCAGCTTCACTCCTGAATCCTGCAGCTTGTTGTCTCTCAGCTCCAGCTCTCTCAGATGGGAGGGGTTGGACTTCAGAGCTGAGACCAGATAATCACAGCTGATCTCTGACAACCTGCAGTTCCTCAATCTGAATAAAGAATAAAAGATGTAAGTTTAGAAGACAATGTTCCTGCTTGAAATCATTCAGTGTTTAATAATCTGTTCAGAGCGGAAGAAGGTTTACAATGTACAAGTTTAGAAAATGTGAACAAGTGAAAAGATGATCTAGTTACAGTCCAAAATGACTTTAAGGCTTAAAATGCACATTGATAAGAACATACTGCATGAACACTAACCTTGGGTCTCTTCGGAGTGTGCTGAAACAATCAAATCATCATTCTTTGTTGTTTCATTTCACTATGTTCACGTCTCTGTTTAATGTTTGTTCTGTTTACATCCTGGCAGTTGGAACAGTTTCAAAATAAAAGCCCCCCGAAACAGAAAAGGAAAAGGCCAAAAAAAGTAAATAACATATAAGGAATGCATTAATAGTAATATTAAAAAAGATCGAAAATCGAATCGAGACTTTAAAATCGAAAATTAAATCGAATCGAGAATTTGGAGAATCGTGACACCCCTAATATATATATATATGTATATTTATATATATAATTATTTATTTATTTGAACAGTTTCAGTTTGTAATCCCAATGCATGTATTTGCATCAGTTCAGGGGCCTTTATTGTTTTTTGAGAGGCTTGCCAATATCTCCATTGAAAGAGTCAAAAGTGTTTTTGGGTTTGTTCATAGTATTAATGTCATGATCATATATATATATATGTATGTGTGTGTGTGTGTGTGTGTGTTATCGGTTATCGGTATCGGGTTTTAAAAAAAGTTATCGTGCATCCCTACAACTAACAGTGGACATTTTCTACAGTTTCTTTAACAAACAGAAGTCTTTGTGACTGCAGAGTAAATTTAGTTCAACAAACATTAAAATATGAACAAAAGCAACTTTACAACTTTATGGATGTAAGTTATGTATGAACATAAATTAGGTTCAGTTGTTAATTAAATGTAGCCCTGGATAAAATACTTTTAGACTTCAAGATGTGGATAATTCATGTAGTCATCAGACAGTAAATAGTTTAAAAAGAGAGGTTTAACATGTATAAATATGGTTAAAAACATGGATATAAATACTGTTTAAAATGTAAATGGAAGGTTAAATATGTGTTTAAATATAAGATGTATAATCTCTACAGTTCAGAGGTCAAAGGATGAAGTTCATGTAGATTAACATAGTTTGTTTTATATGTATCTGTATTACACACTGTATTCAGCCTTACAGCCTAACCTGGTTCATGCATGATATGTCAATCTTTGTGTTTCTTTATTGTAATTGGACTGTTCTGGATTAAACAGCCAACCAAATTACATTCTCAGGTAGAGAGTACTTAGTCGTACCCTGCTAGCTCTGGTGTTTGTGGAGAAAGGCAGAAGCTGATTAGTTATCCTAAGGGTTTGAACTTTTGTGATCAACAAGAGGTAAATATGAGTCTGTGAACTTTTTCCTGTACTGTGACTTATTGTTATAGTGGAACAAACGAGTTGTTACCAGCATGGACTGACTCCAACCCTCTACTGACCTCAGAGTCTCCAGTCTACAGTGTGGACTCTCCAGAAAACCACACAGCAGCTTCACTCCTGAATCCTGCAGCTTGTTGTTACTCAGCTCCAGCTCTCTCAGATGGGAGGGGTTGGACTTCAGAGCTGAGACCAGATAATCACAGCTGATCTCTGACAAACTGCAGTGACTCAATCTGAATAAAGAATAAAAGATGAAGATAAAATCATTAATAATCCAATCAGATGTGTTCAGGTTCTAAATGTGGAGATCAACATTACTATGTCCTAATGTGGTATATTAAGTAGCGATGATGTGAAGATGTGTTGAAGAGAAGTCCGCTGACACCGTCTTGATTGTATATAAAAAGGTTTATTACAAAAAAGTTCAGCATCTATACAAGCACCGCGGGAGCTTGGAGAGCATCCAGCCAAATGAACAACTCTGTCTAATTCACCTTGAACACGGGTTTATATAGGTCAGTTTTACTCCAAAAGATCAAAAGAAACAACTGGTTCCAATCCAAATGTTTAAGATGATAAGGGGAGGTGAGGGTTATCAAGTAAAGGTCAGATGCCCTTCAACCACAAACGGTAAAGGATTAAGCCGTAAACAGTTGAGGCCAGAGGCTAATGTAAAGCCATAAACATTCCATAGTATGAATTAGTCCCTTGATCTCATGTACTACTAACACTACATATGCTGACATCAACAATCATTTGAACTTATAACAGAATGTAATTTAAATTTATAAGCCTTCAGATACCACACTAATCAATGAGCTTTTCTCTAAAATGAGTAGAGTGACTTCGTCATTGTGTTATTGTGGATCATCATAATGTCAGCACAACATTAATACACCTATTCATGTCAACCCTGATTAACAGCATGCTGCTGATCTCAGTCAGGCCTAGAATACCTGTCAGTGGTCATGATGTTATGGCTGATTGGTGTATATCACTATTCAATTCAATTCTGTTTCTACATCAGCAAGTGAACAATGTGTGGAGGAGGCTCGTTGTTAATGATGTAGCCAATCAAAACCATCAAAACCAACTTGGTAACAAATCTATTGGCACCAGCTGATGTGTTCACTGCTGTTCACTGTTGCTTTATCTGGTCTGCACTGGTTAAAATAAAGACTGTATCTGTACAGAGAGCGTCTGTCTCTGTGTCTCTGCAGGGTGACTGTCAGTAGACTGTACAGGAGGGGCAGAGCGAGGGCAGATTGTCACTAGTTTATCAATCACAGATACTTTTACTGAGTGAGAGACACTTTGCTGCAGGAAAGCTTAGCCAGCATGGACTGACTCCAACCCTCTACTGACCTCAGAGTCTCCAGTCTACAGTGTGGACTCTCCAGAATACCACACAGCAGCTTCACTCCTGAATCCTGCAGATTGTTGTAACTCAGGTTCAGCTCTCTCAGATGGGAGGGGTTGGACTTCAGAGCTGAGCCTAGAGAAGAACAGCTGATCTCTGACAACCTGCAGCTCCACAATCTGAATAAAGAATAAATGTAACACCCATTAGTTACACACACAGTGTAATCCCCAATGTTCACAGTTTAACAATCTGTAGAACTATACAGTCTAGTAGATTTCAGATGTAGTTGTTTAGTTTCCTTGTTTCTTTCTCTGTTTATTTTTCATGCACCGATACAAACCAGAGCTCCACGTGAGAGAGAGCGAGTTTAATAAAGTTGATAACTGACTGTAAAGTTGTTAAAATGACCATTTTGGAGGACTTCTGTACAAGGAAGAGGGTTTTTCTTGTCAAAGCTGACCGTGTGGATATTGATTATTATCCAGTGAAAACTCCGGTCAGTAAATGCTATGAAGGATTAGCGTTGCCGCTCACAGATAATTACTTATTTTATTGAATATGTCTCCACTGTGTATAGTTATGATTCTGTGATAGTGTTTAAAAACCAACCGGAGACAGATAAACATGTTGAGCTGTGTTAATAGCACTAGCACCTGTTATACAGCTAAGAAAGCTGGTTGTTGAGCTCAAACACACACAGCTGTGTGAACTTGAGTTTACAGAAGATAATTCATTTCTTTTTCTTGATAAAAACATGATTGAAAGTCATTCATTTCATAATTTGTGTACATTAAGCTGTGATGAGTTAAAAGCATTTAAAGATTTATATATATAATTGTGTGTTGGCTGTTAAAGTTATTGTGCAGCTGTATATGAAACTTTGTCATTGAATAATTCACGTTCATTGATTTAAGATAAAAAGAGAGTTAATACTGTACAGTTAAGATAAATAGATAAAGAGAGATTAACGAGATGAATAAGATTGTATTGAAGAGATGCTACTACTACTGCTCTATGCAGGTTGGTTTTATTGTATGAGTGGATTCTGATGGCGAGCCAGAACCAAGCCCATTGGATCGTGGAGGGTGTCAGCGAGAGCTTCACTGTGCATTGGAGAGAACATCTCTTCATACAGATAATAAAACATAAAGTCACACTACCCGGGTAGATGAACAATCACACAAACACACTGAAGAAGGACAAACTGTGAATATTGACTTCATTCACACTTTACTTTTTCTGTTTTTGGACTCTTTTGAATTTTCTCTCTGGTCTGTTGATTATTTTGGGCCCATATATTTCATAACTCATACTGTGAAGAGTTTTGTTTTCTACTGAGCGTTATTCAGTGTCATTTTCTGACTTGTTGATAACTTCTGATACAAGAAAGGAATTCAGTCATATCTGAAATATTTTATGTTTTGCACTTAAAGGTGGCACTGTTGCCAATAAAGCTATTTGTTACTACTCTTTTCAAACCGTTGTCCTGTTCCATCAATCCTCCTTGAGCGTATCTATTTCTTCTGATAGAATAAGTAAGATAGTAAAATACAAAGAGTGAAAAAGAGCTCTCATTAATATTAATGACAACGTGCTGCTGCTTCAATAAAGACGTAGTGACTTCAGCTCTTAACCTCTGCCAGCTCCACCAGTGGCTCCATCTATACAAACTCATGTTGTGCAGCCAAACACAAAGAAAAACCCACAGAAACTGATTGAAGGTTCCACTCAAGATCCTAAAGTTTACAAAGATACCAAATATGTCAGGATGGATTTTGGGATAAACTCATACAATACTAAATAATCTCAAAGAAAGTGGAAGATTATTCCAGTCAGATGGAGCTTTAAATTAAAATGACCTGCGTCCAACTTCTTGAAAGAAAGAGAAAAGGATATTGCATGTGTCTAATTGGATATGGAGATGTTCATGGGACTAACAAGTGTTTCAGATAGGAGGGACATTTAACATAAACACATTTAAAATAACAAATAAATAAATGAAATGACAGGACCTACCCTCTAACCTAAAGTAACACAATAATAATAATAATAATAATAATAATAATAATAATAATAGCAATAATAATGTTTATAATAATAATAATAATAATAATAATAATAGCAATAATAATGTTTATAATAATGTTAATAATAATAACAATAAAATATTAATAATGATAATAATAATAATAATAATAATAATAATGATAAGAATGACATTATTACTTGTTATTGTCTGATAGTTGAAATAGAGATTATTGATTTATTGATTGTATTTGTGTCTTTTAAAACACATGATGGGGAATATAAGATGGAAATAAAGAGTGATTCAGTGTAGATTTTTCTTGTTATATTCAGGTTTTAAATGTGGAGCTCAACATTGATCTGCCACAGTCAATGGACTAAACCACTGAAGAAGAAAACAGACTTTAGCATTAAGATACTCAGTGTGGATCAGTATAATATCAGCCTTATGTCTGCACTTTACTGTCAGCACAACTTTCACATCATATTAATCTCAGCACAGAAAGAAAACATGGTGTCTGACCTCAGAGTCTCCAGTCTACAGTGTGGACTCTCCAGAAAACCACACAGCAGCTTCACTCCTGAATCCTGCAGGTAGTTATTCCAACTCAGGTTCAGCTCTCTCAGATGGGAGGGGTTGGACTTCAGAGCTGAGACCAGATAATCACAGCTGATCTCTGACAACCTGCAGCCACTCAATCTGAATAAAGAATAAATGATGAAGATAAAATCATTTATAATCCAATCAGATGTGTTCAGGTTTTAAATGTGGAGATCAACATTACTATGTCCTAATCAATGAGCTTTTCTCTAAAATGAGTAGAGTGACTTTGTCATTACAGCTATAACTACAGCTTTATGTATTACCTTTATTAAGACCTTCTTACTGTATGTTGTAGCTTAGTAAGTAAATGTCATTAAACGCATCCACATTTGTTCAAGTGTGTCTTAAAACAACAGCCACATGCCATATGTACATTCAAAGAGTTATTGGTGGCAGTAATCATTGTGTAGAGTGAAGAGTGATACACCTTTTGATGTTCAAATGAAAAGCTGAACCAGAGAACTTGTGAGTTGGATGAACAGTAGATAAAGTTTTATCTTCTTCGAGCTTTACTAAACGTTGAGATCGAAAGATCTCTGAATAAACTCCATGTTTAATTTCTGAAAGATTTAATAGTTTGATAAGTTTTTTTTTCTCCTGCAGCTCATTTTTTAAACCCTCTAACAGGGGAGAGGTGAACACAAATAATTGTGTTGTTAAATGTAACTGGCCACTAACTATTTGATAGTAATAAAGTTTCCATAATTAAAAAGAATGACTTTAAGTATTTCTGTATTTCAGCATTCAGGGGGAAACAAATAAGTGCACAGATAATGAAGTAATAGTGACCGAATGACGACTCAAGACTTACTTTGTGAAGAATTTAAAATGGCATACACTTCCTTTTAGTGAAGCTTTATTAAGTAACGATTTAGAAATGAGTGTCACAACATGATTTTATTTTTGGGGACAAAAGTCAGGTTAGTAATGGTGACCGTATGTGTGAAGTTTTGATGCAGTAATTATGATTAGGTAATGACGAACACTTCATGTGTCTTTTTCACTCGGTTGTGAATTTATTGGGTAGGTCCATGGCACTTGTGTAGAGCTTAAACATGTCTGATCGTTCTATTATAACCCAACACACACACAATGTTCCAGGCACTGTTATGACTCTGTCAAAATACCGTTGGCTCTATTCTCATAGAAATATTTTTGTCAGAAAGGCTGAGTAGATACATGGTCAGAAATGCTCTTTTATGTAAGATGCATCCAGATCATTTGGTCACATATTCATGTATGAACTGTTCATTGACATTCCTAAATTGATGATCTGTTGAATGTGGATTATTCACATTAAGTCAAAGTAACAGGAAACATGAATTCATGACACATCCTGCATTAATCCATGCATTAAATCATCATGACTCATTCGTTTATATATTTTAATATATTGACATATTAGTTAAGCATTAATTCAGTCATTTTTTCTACCCTTATTGTTAAGTGTTACCATAATCTCTTTTCCATAGAAAGAGTCAATGAGAATATTACTGTTCTGATTGTTTCACATTAGTTACTTTCTAAAGTAACACTTAATAACCATTAAACTGTCAGCAGATGGTCACTGTGGAGATACTAATGTTTTCAGTCTGTGTTTGACCCTCTGCATTTCTGCTTTTCATTAATTCATTGTATCAAACATCAGAGTCACAAAACCATAAATATCAGTAGTGCTGTCCCCTAATAGTAGAGTAGACTGTTAGTCAATGAAAGAGTCTTAGTCATTAGTCAGATATTGGCACCAGGATGATTGTTGCAGCACGGAGCTTTTTTCTTGTAACAGCACTGCTGCATGTGCTAACTACTAAAGAGCTGCTACCTCTAGCAAGTCAGCCTATCAGCTGACTGTACCCTGACTGCAAGCTTGAAGGTTTGTTTACACCATGAGCTTTGGACTGCCGGGGAGTGGGGCTGGAAGTAGGGCAGAGCCGGGCTGACACCGGGACCATCGGAGGACTATCACGCAGTGCGTTCAGCTGCAGGAGGGATAGGAGGAAAGGAGTGAAGGGAGCGAGTTGTAGCAAGTTCATTTGTAAATGTTAATGTGATACACAGTCCACCAGTATTTGTTTTAGTGACGATGGATGTTATTTTTTACACGTTCTGAGTTGTGTGATGTTATACTGTGTTGCCTTTTCTTTTAGCATTAAACAGTGTTTAATAAAACACCATATGTTAAGTTTGTGTTTAACAGACACCCCCCTCTATTTTTGTAATAATTGATTCATTCTAACACTGAAGGTAGTACAGTATTATGCCAGCAGGTGGTGCTCTAGTGCTGCTGTGGATCCATTAGGGAGACTGTAGCTACAAGCTCTGCACATGCGCAGCTCAGAAATAAACAAGCTCTGGCATGAGCAAGACGCTAACTTTCGTCATCTCTCTGTCAATCCACAGTTACTGAAAAACTATTTTTCTATCTTAATTGTGAATCGGTATAATATGTGAATGCATCATAAATTGTTTGGTAATGTGTAACATGATTTGAGAAGTGGGTTAAGTGTAATTAGTTTCGATTTGTCGAAGAATTGTTCAGACGAGCGTCGTCATGCTTTGTAGTTCGGTTATGAACTAGTTTTACACAGTGTAAATTTACTGACATTAGCATACTGTAACAAGAGGAAAGATGTTTTAAATGTTGTTTAGAGTATTAGTCAGCCGCAGTGTGTAAACTGTGATGAGAAAGATTTCATATTAAAGTTAGTTTACTTTCCAAGTCACTTGTTAACGCGCTGTGGCCGCGCCATATTGTTAATCTCTGCTGTGAAGTGCAAGCGCGGGAAAAAGAGTATAACAATGTTGGGAAAGGCTTTGTGTCTGTTACCTTAGTGTTGAATGCTTGTTAGCAGGATTGTAAATGTTAAGGTATGAGTGAATGTAGGTTATAGAGTAATTGTGTCTTTTAAGTTATTATTGTGATACATATAAGTATTCTAAGTTAAGCCAATTTTGTTATTTTTAATGTGTTACCTTCATTTTGAATTCATGTAAACTTGTTTGAATTTAGACAAAAGGGGTTTTATATTATTTATTGTAATTAAGTTACAGCATTGTTGTATTGTTGTGGAATATTTTGGTATGATGTTGATATGCACTTAAATCAGAAAGTTAGAAATGTGACTGGTAATTGTTTGTAAATGTGTCAGAAATAAAGAAGCTCTGGCATGAGCAAGACGCTAACTTTCGTCATCTCTCTGTCAATCCACAGTTTATGTATTGGCTACACAGTGCTCCCTAGTCTGTGTAACCCTTGCTGCTGGTCCAGATTTCCCCTAGGTCTGGTGCCGGTAACATTAACAACTAGTCGACTAGGAACATCTTTAATCAGGGACAACCCTAAAAAACCTTCGAGAGAGAATATTGTGTTTGAAACACTACCATTATTTTTTTTATCTGTCATGGGTCTAATTAGCCTGTTCTTTAAGGTTCTTCTGATGCAGTGGAAACACACAGAAGGACTTCTACTTTTAGACTCTAGTTTACTTCCTGAGATTAGTTCCTCTGGTTCAGTAGTACCTGGATATTAATGGTTGAAAATCTGAAGTCCTGATGACCAAATTTAATGATTCAGAAGTTTTAACATAAGAGTGTTTACACTGCAAGGAGGCAATAGTTTAGAGAAATATAATATGAAATATATATAATATATGACTTAAGCAAACTAACTTGATCTGACCTAAGAGTTTCCAGTTTACAGTGTGGACTCGTCAATCCAGCAGACACCAGCTTCATTCCTGAGTCCTGCAGGTCGTTGTTACTCAGGTCCAGCTCTCTCAGACTAGAGGACTGGGAGCTGAGAACTGAAGTAAGAGCATCACAGCTTCTCTCTGAGAGGTTACAGCCACTTAGTCTGAAGAGACAATAATAAACATTAAGAGCAATAACATTTGTGATATTAATACAATAATAAAGCAAAACAATCTGTAAGTTTAAAAGATAACGGGGTATTTTAGTAATAATATAGAAATCCAACTCTGTCTGTACTTACAGAGCTTTGTTGGAGGCTTTGACCACTGGCAGCAGCCTCAGAAGAGCCTCCTCTGAACCAGAATATTTCTTCAGGTCAAACACGTCCAGATCTTTTCCTGATGACAGTAAGATGAAGACCAGAGCTGACCACTGAGCAGGAGACAGTTTATCTGTGGAGAGACGTCCTGAACTCAGGTACTGTTGGATCTCCTCCACTAGAGAATGATCATTCAGTTCATTCAGACAGTGGAACAGATTGATGCTTCTCTCTGCAGAGAGATCTTCCTCCAACTTCTTCTTGATGTACTGGACTGTTTCCTGATTGGTCTGAGAGCTACTTCCTGTCTGTGTCAGCAGGCCTCGCAGGAGATTCTGATTGGTCTCCAGTGAAAGACCCAGGAGGAAGCGGAGGAACAAGTCCAGGTGTCCATTTGGACTCTGTAAAGCCTTGTCCACAGCACTCTGGTGGAGATGTTTCAGATTCTGTTTGGGTTTAAATAATTTAGACTTCAGGGATGTTGTTAGTTGTTTTACCAGCAGATTGACTCCAGAGCTGATGAATGTCAGATGGACATGAAGAGCAGCCAGAAACTCCTGAACACTCAGATGGACGAAGCAGAAGACCTTGTCCTGGTACAGTCCACTCTCCTCTTTAAAGATCTGTGTGAACACTCCTGAGTACACTGAGGCTGCTCTGACATCGATGCCACACTCTGTCAGGTCTGATTCATAGAAGATCAGGTTGCCTTTCTGCAGCTGCTCAAAAGCCAGTTTTCCAAGAGACTTAATCATCTTCCTGCTCTCTGGACTCCAGTGTGGATCTGTCTCACTTCCTCTATCAAACTTGACGTTCTTCAGTTTGCACTGAACCACCAGGAAGTGGATGAACATCTCAGTCAGGGTCTTGGGCAGCTCTCCTCTCTTTCTAGTCTTTAATACTTTCTCCAGAACTGTAGCAGTGATCCAGCAGAAGACTGGGATGTGGCACATGATGTGGAGGCTTCGTGATGTCTTGATG